AACTGCTGACCTTGCGGTTCACAGCCCAAGTCGTAACCACTACGCTACCAGAGCTCCAGAAGAAACCCTAAGAGAGCACAATCTTCAGCCCTCCTGGGAAGCCATAAAGTATAGTAAATGGCTTACAACTTTTCAAGAGGAAGTTAAGTTTCAGAGGGTGCGGGGGAAGGTAGAATCTCTGCTGAGTGGTTTCCAATCTGTCTAGACCAGGCTGGTGAAAGGAGATGGGGATAAGACTCTGGTGGTTCAATAATGAGTAATTGTTATCATGACTGATCGAGATTGTTAATAACTGTAAAGGTAGAGGTTTTATAGCTAAAAAAAAAAGAGGGGGGGTAGTTGATCTTGCAGTTCAGGAGCGGAGGTCCCTGGGGCCATCAAGGGAGAAGAGCAGGAGTGGAATGTGGGACCCTATCCAGAGAAGCAGTGACTCCAGAGATGGAGGCAGATATGATGATGTGGAGAGATGGAGCGGCTGGGGACTCTAGACTCATGGAGGGAGAGGGGCTGTGTGCTGGCGACCAGGTGGCAGGCTTGTAGGGTATACCTTTTGGGTGTTTGAATGACTGTACATTCCTGAGTGTTTTGGTGTACATCCACCACCACCACCTTCACCAAAAAAAAAAAAAAAAAGAGGGAAAAGAAGCAAATACTTCTTGATGATGATGAAACAAAATATGATAGGATGAGTGTAAAGCTGATGTTCTCCCATGTAAACTATCACTCAATTCACAATAAAAAAAAACTTTTTTAAAAAAAGCATAGTCAAGACCAGTCCAGTGTAATCCAGTGATGCTGGGAGGATGAAGGAGGCTGTGCAAGCCAGACTCAGACTTACCACTCCCACTTCAAACAAAGCAGCTCCTGCTTCTCTTGCCTTTATACAAGTGGTACTTCTATTTAGCATTGAATAAAGAACTCCAATGGGAATAGGAGGAGAGCCAAGAGGGCGTAGTGTTATAATCACTGCTCTTCTTACAGAAAGGAGCCCTGGTAGCATAGTGGATTATAAACTGGGCTGCTAACTGCAAGGTCAGCAGTTCAAATCTACCAGCCACTCCGCAGGAAAAAGATGAGGACTTCTGTCCTGTAAAGATTTACAGCTGTGGAAACTCTATACAGGGTTGCTATGTGTTAGAACCGACTCAGTGGCACATAACCACCACCACTACCTTCTTACTGAATGCTGCTGAATATTATTTAAAAGGAATTCACATGGTTAACATGAGGTTGTTGTTAAGTGCTGTGCATTGAGTTGGTTCCAATTCTTAACAACCTTGTACAGAGTTTCCGAGAAGCAACTGAAGGATTTGAATTACCGATCTTGTGATTAGCAGTCCAGTGCTTATCCTACAGAGCCACATAATTACAGTACAAAGAATGTAAACATTAAAAGAGTTCATTAAACCCAGCATTTGCGTTAGAGAACTACAAGTCTTAAAACGATTTAGAAATCACGGGTTAGCAGTTTTTCCTATCGCTGGTACCAACTGGAGATACTGACATTCCTGCTACTTTTTTTTTTGCTCAACACAAGTGAGCAAATTTCTAGTGAGATCAATGCTTTACCAATTTACAAATAACATCTTGATGTGCCAATGATGATGGTAACCCACCTTTCCTGTTGTGTGAAGTTGCATGAATGCTCTGTCCTCAAAAAAATTACTCTGAGCCTTTACTTAACAATTACGGCAAGCCGTAGCATGATGATGCCAATGATGGTGGAGGTATGAAAGCGGGGAATCTCCTTTGTGTACACTTTGGCACCCCCTCCCTAAATTCCCACCTCACTCTGTCTACTCATCCCTCTGCCTCCCCTCTTAAAATGTTGTTTAATCATCAGTGGTGTGCAAGCTCTGTGCAAGTCACCCCACTGCTGACTTCTTGAGACCACAGTCCAGGTCCTACAGATCCCTGATAATTCACCAGGCAAATGTTGTCACCTGCCTAAATGTGAGCCAAGCACTATGCTAGATGCTTTTCTCAAGAACATTCTAGAAGAATCAATAGAGTTACTCACAACACAGAGAAAAGTACAAGGTAGAAAATGAAACTATATGAAATCAGCAAATAAAGTGCATTTCATTAGGAAGAAGGAAAGGGAGAAATTACTGGGATTTTTCTGATGCCACAGAATAATCATTTTTCTTATTCAGAAATTGCAGCATTTACTAATGTTCCATCTACACACTTAAAAAAACAAGTATTGTTAGGGGGTGAATAGGAAGTAGGGTTATAAATACATAACAAAAATGTAACTATTTTGGGTGAAAAGGTTCTGCCATCTTGATTAATAAGTACACCTGAAATTTTTTTTTTGGCATTTTGATAATATTCATAACTATAATCTTATTATAGATTAGGTCTAATACAAAGATAATCAAAGTTCTTTTTTTTAAACATCCTAGGTGTTAAATATTAACACTGGCAATTATTTTTCTTACTACTACTGAAGTCATTTTATATGGCTAAATAGTTATATTGGTGACAAAAGGGCAAACTCAGTATCATTGCTAACATTTATTGACCCTATTATCTGAAGTATCTCCGACCTTAGGAACATACGAAGGAAACTCCAGTACCTAACTGTAGGTTTGGCTTTCTCTCACAAGCTTCGGTTTCATTTTTGAAAACGATGTTGACCAAGGAAATTTACCCAGACAGGTAAATGTACTTAACATCGATCACAAAAGTAAGCTTGCAGGCAACAATTTCTCCTCACCCCTAAGTGAACTCTTTAAAAATGCTTTGCTCGTGGTATATAAGATTATAGATTAAACACACTCTTTATACGTACTTCCCAATTCTTATTTTGAGAAATCCTGTGTGAACTTTGGAATGACCTATTTACTCAGCCCTACTCTTGTGTGTATACTGAGGTCCAGGGACCACAACACTATGCATCATTCCCTGGACAGCGCAAAATAAAACCCCAGAGCAAAATAAACCCCCAATTCAGCCATCTGCATGTGCAGGTGTGCCTTCTACGACAGTCCTTACCTTCACAAAGAGGCTAATCTCAGGAATCACGGAAGATGCTTGGGTGTCTTCCAAATTATTAGCACTGGAATACCCAGTTTGGGAATCCACGCTGGTGGAGAAGGCTCTGCTCTGTTGGATGGTGAAGGCTGAAGAAGGCAGGTCTTCTTCCATCATACTTCCATTCTCCTGGGGACTCTCCGAGCGGGGTTCCTCTGAGAGGAGCTCCAGATCCTGGACTGGTGAGTATAATTCTTCCACCGAGTCGTCTTTGTCCTCCTGGGTTTCACCTTCTTGAGAATCCTGGGCCTCTGACTGTACCTCATCAGGCAGAAGGTAGTCATCTGCTCCTGGCTGAGAAGACTCTAGGCTGTTCTCCTCACCCCCAATAACATAGACCGCCACAGAATCATACTCAGAGCTTTCCAGCTGGGTAGCATATGAAGTATTTTCTGGCTCCAAGTCTTCTTGTACATTATCATAAAGGGGACCTTTATTTTCTCTTAGCTGGTCTGGATCCTCATATGTCTCTTCCTTTTGGACTGTATCATAAATGTTGTTGTAGTCTTCTTCATTCATTTTTTTAAAAATCTGATAGATCCTTTTGCTGACAAACCTGAGAAGGTCTGAACCTTAAAGGGATCAGGGATGCTGTACAGGCTGCAGAGGAATCAACCAACGTGAAGTGCAGCAACAAGCAACAGTTATCAACGACGTCTCTAGCAATCATTTACCGGAGACTTTAATCAGCAAGCCATAAGTCCATTGGACAAAAGATAAAGCTTACATATTCAGTTAACTCTTTCACTCCTAAGGACTTTTCAATTAGACTCTGGGGTTTCCTCATTGCCAGTAACGCCAAGGTTCTTTGAATAAACCAGGGATTGAATTACCTTTTCTTTATACATTGAAATTCTGGTTATGTATCCATTTATAATTAAATAGAGCTCCCTCTTCTAATTGTCCACAAATGTTGACAACATTAAAAAATCCCTGCTATTCAGTGGAGAGCTAAAATTCTTCATGATAATAACCCATATATTTATAGCTAAATTTATTAAACAAAACAGTTCTTCTGTATTGATACTCTTTGATGAGTGAGTTTTGCATGCCTCAGTTAGGTAATGAATTATGTCCACATTTCTTATCTGGAAACACCTCTAGGTGATTAAAAGCCATAAGGAAAAGAAGATAAATGTTCTGGCCTATGGGCATATCCTTACAGACCACCCATAGTAAGGGAATCAAAGATACATGACTTTGAGTTTTATTTTTCCCTCTTAAATCTGTGTGCTCATCACAGCCAACAAAACAAGCATTCACTAAGACACTTAAGTACAGGAGACATAAGTGGGCTTTGAACATTTTGTTGTTGTTGTTAAGTGCCATCAAGTCAGTTCTGACTCTTAACGATCCCGTTTAGGGTTTCTGAGACTATAAATCTTTCTGTGAGCAAAAAAACTCACCTGGAAAGCTGGTGGGCACAAACTGCTGACCTTGTGGTTCGCAGTTCAGTGCTTACCGACAGAACCACCGCACTCTCCATTGAATGTATTTGTTGTTGCTGTTAAGTGCCATCAAGTTGATTCCGATTCATAGTGATCTTGTATAGGGTTTCCTAGGAGCAGCTGGTGGATTTGAACTGCCAACCTTGTGGTCTTTGCTTTTTAAAGTGGTACTCTCTTTTGCAAATTCCTGGTTTTCTTTACCATATCATGTACATGTGTCTCTTTCATGTGACAGTCCAAATAGGCTGTTGTTGTTAACTGCCATCAAGTTGATTCCGACTTACAGAAATCCTGTATAGGTTTCAGAGTTTTAAAATCTTTGTGGGAGCAGAAAGCCTCATCTTTCTCCTGTGGAGTGATAATCCTTGTGGTTCACCGTTCCGTGCTTATCCTACAGAGCCACTGTGCTCCCTGGATGTGTTGTAAAGGAACCTTAATATCTAGAAATCATGTGCAAATGGAGAAGTAATGTACATTTCAAAGTATTTGATGAGTATCTTATCGGTAAAACTCCACTGTTCCCTTAGGCTAACATATGCAGGAATCGTCTAGGGTGAACTAGAGCAATATTTCTGTATTTCTAATTAAAAAATGAATAAGGGTCACTTGTTGTTGTTAAGTGCCATCAAGTCAGTTCTGACTCATAACAACCCTGTATAGAGTTTCCAAGAAATGACTGGTGAGTCTGAACTGCTGACTTTGTGGTTAGCAAGTCCAGTGCTTATCCTACAGCACCAGGCATTAAAGAGAATTGACACTGACATTTTCATTTTATTGAAAAAGGAGGTTTAATAGATACAAATATCTGATAAATTACTATAAGTTTCATAATAAGGCATTTATGACTATATGAAATCCCAGTTCAAATCCTCCTCATAATTTTAGAGTTGGAGAAAATTATCTTAGGCTGAGTTGCCTAAAAAAACAAAATCAGTGAAGCACATATGAGGGACCTTCAAAAAAGCTCATGGAAAAATTCCATTCTCTTTCAATTCCATTCTTTCATGAACTTTTTGAAACCCCCTTGTACATATAAGGAACTGTATCTCAAGGAAATAGCTCCACAGTGTAGAGTCTGCAAGTCCCAAGTCTGTACGGAGGGTCTCAGACTAGAGGCGTCTCCAAACTCATGCAACAGCAAAAGCTGATAAGTCCAAGATAGGCAAGTAAGATGGCAGGTGACTGACTCATAGGCTGTGGAACTTGAAGATCCCAAGAACCAGAGCTCAGATAATAAGGACAGAGATGCAAAGCCAAAGCAAATGAGCCTAACCCTAATTGTTGTTGTTAAGTGTCATCAAGCCAGTTCTGACTTAAAAGGACCCCATATGGGATTTCCAAGAGTAGTTGGTGAGTTTAAACTGTTGATCTTGAAGTTAGCAGTCCATTGTTTACCCTACACCACACCAGGACTCCAAACCCTAACTATAACCCTAAAATGATACCTAGACCTAGCCCTAACCCAAACCTAACCCTAACTTTAAACCTTTAACCAGACCTGGTTGTCTAGTGGGTTAAGAGTTGGGTTGCTAACTGCAAGATCAGCAGTTCAAATCCACCATCAACTCCAAAGGAGAAAGATGAGGCTTTCTGCTCCCATAAAGATTTACAGCCTCCAGGACTTCCGGCAAGCTGGTGGACTAAGCAGATGCACTACATGGTCCCTCTACAATAAAAGATACAAAAGACCAAATAAAACAGACACAGATGAAAATTCTGACACCCAGAACTTTTGAGAGGTGGATGGAATGTTTGCTTGGAGGAGAGGCTGAACGGGTATGGTGAGTGAGAGAAGGAAGCTGACTGGTGAACGACTGGCTAGACAAGGCACAACCATCTTGTAAGCAGCTTTGGCAGCAGAGAGAGGCCTGGCAGAGCAGATTTGCACTGATAACTGGGGAGGTGTGATTTCTTCTTTTTCCCCATGCTCCCCTGGTGACCAGAGATGTGGCCAGCTCCCAGCATCATCCACCAGCAGTGCAGACCCAACTCTCCAGGAATTCAGAGCAATGTGATTGGAAGCCATGTCGGTGTGAGTTGGGAGCTGGTTGTGCTGCTCTGGTGTGCTGCTTTGGTGCCTGGATTCAGGTGGGTTTGACTCAGAACAACAAAATCTGAAGAGCCACCAGACCAGAATTTAACCAATCACCCTGGCCCCAGGTACCCAGTGATCCTAACAGACACTGAAACCAGCTCCATCATGGGTCCCCACAAACTACTTCTGAACACATATAACACCAGGACAGTAGGAATTCCATCTAAACCAGGAACTCTGCTGTCACATCCCTTCCACAACCACCTCGTGAACTTCTTGAATTGCAGGACCCTATCAGAGATTTCTCCCCTTCAAGTCTAACAACTGCACTGTTTGTTATTACAAATATGACAACTCCACAATGCCCCAGAGAAAACAGACCATTGTAACTTGTACAAATAAACAAAAGAGAATGACTCAAACATATGACCAACATGTAGAGACAGAAAACATTTCTGAGGAAAAAGGTAATGGAATTAAATGAAAAATAATTCAAAAGAATGATATTTTAGTACCTTCAACGGAACGACAGAAAGATCAAAGAAAGCAAGGAGAACACAGAAAAAACTTTAGAAGAATTCAGGAAAATGCTACAAGAACAAACAGACAAAAAAAGTGCAAATTTTGAAACCATACCAAACCTGCAATTAGAAATCCAGAAGATTGATACTAACATTTCAGAAATGGACAATACATTGACAGGGCAAAGGAGAAGCAATGAAAGCCCTAAGAAGCAGACTTGAAGATCAGTCTCTCGATACTAGTACGCTAGAAGAGCAATCAGAAAAAATCACGGAAAAAAATCAAAGAAAACTTAAGGGTTATGTGGGACACAGTGAAGAGGAACAACTTATGGGTGACTGTAATTCCAGGATAGGAAGTGACAATAAAAAGCAAAAAGAAAATTGTTGGGATTGTTGGAAGAAAACTTCCCTAACATAATGAAAGATGAGAAGATAAGCAGACAAGAAGATGAATGAACTCCAAACAGGATAGATCCCAAAAGAAAATCACCAAGATGTACCATAATCACACTTTCCAAAATCAAAGACAAGGAAAAAATCCTCAGAGTAGCTTGGGAAAAATGAAGAGTTACCTACAAAAGAGAGCCGATAAGACTAAGTTCTGATTTCTCAGCAGAAACCAAGCAGACAAGAAGGCAATAATATGACATATGAAAAACTCCGAAAAAAAAAAAAAAAAAAACTTTTATCCTTTGGAATACTTTCCTTGTAAAGAGAAGGAAGATCAGTTGCACAAATGTTTTATTCAAAAAAAAAAAAAAAAAGTTGCCAGCCAAGAATCATATACTCAAAAGAGCTGTCCCTCAAATACAATGGTGAAATTAGGATGTTTCCTGTTAAACAAAAATTAAAGGATTTTGTAATGATCAGATCAACTTCACAAAAAATGGTAAACGGTGTTCTTTGAAGTGAGATTAAAACCACCCGGAACTCAATCCAGATAAAGAAGTATTTACAGTAAAACATCAGAACTGACTTGATGGCACTTAACAACAACAACAATAGTAAAACAAACTACAAGACTGAAAATAAGGAAACAGAAATATCAATGTATAATGAAGTCAACTACAAAGCGCAGAGGGAAGGTATAGCTACAGAACTTCCAAATAGCAAGAAGTCAAGTAGATTTCAAGATAAACAGACTGTGTTAAGCAGGGAAAAAATTAATAAATACAGGGTAACTGATAAGAAAAACAATACATTTGCACATCAAAATAAAAAAAGAGAAAAATCAGAAAGATATCACATAGCAAACATTAACACAACAGAAATGAAAATGAAGAGAAAATCCACAAACAAAATGAAAGTATAAGAAATTATGCAGAACAAAGAATCTGGCAGCATCATAATAAAAACACACAGAAAAAGGACAACAATCAATTCATACCTATTGATAATTACACAAATGTAAATGGATTAAATGTACCAGTCAAGAGACATAAAAAGTAGAATAGATAAGAAAACAGGATCCTTCAAACTGCTGTCTTCAAGGGACACATTAAAAAGATGGAG